GCGTCAGCTGCGGGCAATCTACTCGGCCCAAAAATCTCCCGGCCTTCGGTCGGAAGGTACTTTATCCGCCCGCCTAAATGTAAGGCATGCGTTCAACATGACTCGAGGCCCAACAACGGTCGGTCCTTAATCGACGCTGACGGAAACACTATGGTCAAAACTCGCAAGTCTCCGCCCGGTCTCAACTTCATTTAACACTTAGTTATACCATGACTTCATAGCCATCCAAGCAGATCCGGTAACCACCTATAGCTCTCGTGTGATGTGAAATCACCCGACTTCTACCGGTCTAAGCCGGCTAAGCATTGACTGATCATTGCGGATACCTGTGGTAACAAGGATATAGTATAACAAAGGTAAACAAGGTAAAATGCAGCAACGGTTTCAAACAACTCCTGAACGTAATGCATCAATTTAAGTAAAGTATTTAATGAAATCATTGCAAACCGGGAGAAAGATGCTCCGGGGCTTGCCTCTCTCGAAGGAGCTCTGACGGTGATCGGGGCACTCGGAAGTTCCTCAACGTCCTCCCTCGTCGGCCGGCACTTCCCTGCTGCACTCGCACCTCGAGCTGCTCCTCGGGCTCCTCGGTTATGACGACTGGGTTCTCGGTTTGCGATCCTGTATGATGCAATGCGTGTAAGTGCCTATGCAATCGGTGCATCGAAGGAGATGAATGCAATGGATATGTTGAAAGGCAAGGTAGTCAACATCATCCAAGAAACTATACTACAAGCACATGTCATCTACTGTATTCTCTTCTACTACTAATATGTTAAGTTAACATATCTTATGAAATGCTTCAAAGATACCCCAAAGCTTTACTAATTTCTTAATCACACTTAAAACAACACTTGCTTAAACCCTAATTAATAATAGGTTTGAATAGCAACATATATTTCTGATGCTCCTAAAAATCTGAGAAAATTACAGTAGCATAATACTACTCTAAACAGACTACCATAAAAATTTCATAGCATTTGGATAAGTAAACTATCCTACACAAAAATGACAAGCTATAGCATAAAAATGAGCATGAAATTACTTTGTACTATGAAAAGTGTCAAACAACAGAATTAGTATTTTTCCTAGGTTCTTAATAGCATATAATGACTGTACAAAAATTATCAGATGCATGTTTTATGCAACTTTGGCTTTTTAGCAAAAATAACAAAAATCAGCCATTAAAGGGACTTGAACTACACCTCAAAATTTTCCCACAGCACATGCATGAAACCTATTTTTCTTAGGAAGTACATGACATAAGAAGATGAACAAACTTGAAATCATATTTTTCTGAAGCATATATATTTTTATACACATTTTTCAAGTTATCAGCAATTTACATGATTAAATAAAATCCTATAGAAAAGTATCTCAAAATGACATGCAATAATTTTCCCAAGTAGATCTGGTGATAAGGAACCTAGCAAAATTTGTTTCAACAAATTTGGAGCAAGTTTGACCATCCAAATATTTTTCAAACCATTTCAGATTTCAAATAATAAAGAATAATGAAAATCAATTCACTAAAGCGTTCTTGGGCCGCCTGTGGGGGGAACAGCTGGCCCACGGCCACAACCGGCTGCTTGCGGCCCGAAAGCGAGGGAAAGAAGACGCCCAACAGCGTCAACCCCAACTACTGGCTTTCACCGCTGCCACCGAGGCAGAAGCGCTTGCGGGGCCATAAAGCGTATGACGGCTGCTGATCGGCCAGCGGCCAATGCGGCCGTCTCCGGCCATGGCGCGGTAGCGCAAGCAAGCGAAAGCAATAATAGGTGTGCGAGGCCATGGCGAAAGCGAAAGCGTGCGCTAAGCACGGCTGAGAAGGGGAGGAAGAGGGCGCTCCACGGCGGCCGAGCACGGCGGCGCCATGGACGTCGGTGGCGAGGCGCGGGGAAGCTCACCCAGGGCTCGGAAGGCGGCGCAAGCGCGAGCGTGAGCCGAAGGGAGGCGAGGCGCGGCTGTGGGCGCGAGCAATCGGAAAATGACGCGGCGGTGCGAGAGCTTGGCGCCGGCGAAGCGGCGGGCGCGGCGAGGGCGGAGCTCGAGCTCTCGGCTCTGGAGGGGAGAAGAGGAAGTGTGGGCGCGAGTGGGCGAGTGCGCGGGCATCAGCAGGTGAAGGCGGGCGCGTGGGCGCGATGTCAGGCCGCGGCTGCCGCGCGGCGGTTGACGCCGGCATGCGGTCGCCACGCGGCGGACGCTTCTGGCCGTGATGCGTGGCGTGGCGCGTGGCGATCAGAGGGGACGGCTTGGCGCTGTGGCTGGCTGGGCCGAGGCGCGATGGGTGGGTGTGGCTGCTCATGGGCGGCTTCTTTGTTTGTGGGGGCGGCTTCGGCTTCGGCGGGGCTGTGAAGCGAGGCGCAAGGCCCACGAAGGTAAAAACAAGATTTTTCAAATTAATTTGAATTCCTTTTCCATTCAAACGAATTTTTGGACTAAATCAAAGCAGTTTCAAACTTTGGGCCAAAAATAAAAGTTGCTCAAAATTTTATCCTCTACAACTTTGATTTTAAGACCAACGTCCAATTCATTATAGATTTTGAATTATACAATTAAAGTCAATTTTGAGTTGAACCCTAATTTTTGAAGAATTATTTTTAAAGCAAAATTTGGCAATAATTCAAATGCAAACCTTGCTCCAAAAATTGTGATAAACAATTCTAGATGATTTATAATTATAACCAAACAAGCTCTACTACCCTAGCAAGCAAAATCAGGGCAAAACAATTCTTAAACCGGTGTATGCAACATTCAGGTTTCACGCACGTTTCAATTGTTTCAAAACAATGTTTCAATTGATATGCACATGATTAAGCACGTAGGATTTGGATGCTTGATGATGCATGATATGTGTGATTTGCAGTGCTTAAATGTAGGCATAACACCGGGGTGTTACAGGGGCGGTCTGGGAACCGCCCTTATAAATACATGATTTGTAGAGGCGCTTAGGTAGAGGCGGCTGGACAAACCGTTCCTACAAAAAACCTCTAGAGCCGCCCCTACAAATACTATATGACGTAGTGTCATAAACTTTATTAAAAATCAAGTAGTATCATTCATACTCGAGACAAAACAAATTCAGAAAAAGAAGCAAAAAAAAAAAAGAAGACTTCACTACGACCAGACCTAATTGCAAAATGAGCAAGCTCATGCGCTACATTATTCTGACTCCTACTAATTTTAGCAATCTCCAAACGACACAGCTCCTCCATATTCGTCCGCGCTTCTTGAACAAGGGACCAGCCCACCGATCGGTCCATCACATTGCTTTTCAGCTTCGCAGCCACCACCGCAGAATCAGTCTCCAGCACCATCGGAACATCCGGCCACCGCGTAGCAAGGGCGATACCTTCACAACAGGCAATAGCTTCAGGCTCCTCAGCGTCCCGGTGCATAAGTATTTTATTGTTCTCACCTTTCCTTTTCACATTCTATTATTGTCAAATTGACTGTGCATAAATATTTTATCCTACTAAAACAACTGATAAAGCATATATCTTGAATGTGAATTCAAACAATCTATTTATAATTCACATACTCAGTTGAAAAATATGCTATATACATTAATAAAAAATATCAACAGCTAACATGCTAACTAAATCGTACGTGAACGCTCACGATGTAAAACATATTACACGCTAACACATTATATAATCGAGTGTGAACCGTTGACGATCTAAAATATATTACATGTTAACACGCTATAGAATTGAGTGTGTACATTATGGAGCTGTCTTATATATTGAACACATAAAATGGCCATGTAAATTGTCATGTGTGCACATAAAGGGTTTTTTTTTTTGTATATTGGGCATCGGACACGTACGTGTTCGCGTAGGTTGAGCACCTTAGCGCGGCACGTAATTAAAATAATAGTAGGTAATTTATGTTAATTAAATTATGTCATATCTAAATTTACAAAAATAACAAGATTTACCATATCTAGCAGATCATGTATGCATCAATCTAACAAAGATCTTTATATCTACAAATTTCCATATTTATTCTATTTTACAAAATTAAAAATTAAATAAATATACATTTCACGTATTACCTCCTGGAATAATAGATAATTCTAACCATCCGATCTAATCTAACTAAATGGATGGTACACGGTTATTTGGGTGTACGACAGCAAAGCTCAAACCATATACGGAGTATGCAATTGGCAGCATACATACATGCAGACAACAAACCTCCTTTGCATGGTACGATATTCAGAGTTGAACACAACGCAAACTTTTTCTTTAATCAGACATCTTTTTCTTTTATCAGACATGGTACGATAGTTAAATAGCAATACAGCAGCATCAAAGTACAGATGCATACATCAATTCGACCATAGCATCAGTTTTCAGGGACAAACAAGGCAATTACATGACACTATAAGATAAACTGGCTCAGGCATAATCTCTGCAGATATTTGCATGGATCACAGGCATAACACAATCAGAAGCACATGTTTCGGGTTGTTGCAGGAGAATCCCTAGCAGTAGCAGCTGAGCCCATTCTTGCACCAGTACCCCCTTTGCCGCTTGATTCTTCAGACGGATGCGCTCGGCCCATGGCCCAATAGTCTGTCCAACAATGGAGGTTGCTATGGTGAATGCCATTGCAGTCCTGGGCATCCTCAGCATTGCTATGGTGAACTTGGTGTGCTCCCGCCATCCCCAAGAGGGATGCTTGCCGCCATCCCCAATAGAGCAATACAAATAGGTCAATAGCTACCATCTTTGAGGGCAGGGGCTGTGGTCGGAGGGATTTCACAAGCACAGTTTGTTCAAGAGCAGCTACCAGGCACTGATGGCGTGGCATTTCACTTAGGACGAGGGGCAAAGTCAAGTTGAAAAGAAAAGTTTGAGGACTAGAACACACTTTCATAGTTCACTTTTGATAGTTCTGAGATGAGATGAAACTGACTGAAACTGTCATTTTAAAAGTTCAGAACAAAATTGAACCTCAAGCAATAGTTGAGGAACTGAAATGACTATTGCACCTTAAAGAAAAAGTACGAATATGGCCACTCTCATTCGTAGATTGCATTTCTGCAGAAGAGGACAATCTGACAAAAGAAACACAAGTGCCAGTAACTAATACATCATTATTATTACAAGGGAAGCATGGTGTAACTGCAACAATCATTTACTGCCTAACGCATGGGCCTCAGGGCCTGGTCACATACACTGAACTCTCCGCATAACCAATGCAGAGTTATAGATCGGGCATACCAATCCCAGCTTTTTCATCGTAGGTCTTCTCCAGCACAAGCTCGATTGGTGTATCCTTTGGGCCAGCTGCGTGAGGAAGGAAACAGTTAGAGCAACTTCTCATCACGAAATGGGCATGGTAGAAATAGTCAAATAGGCAAAGAATGTATTTGAGACCCCAGAGAAATGCGTAGTGCACCTCGTTGCTATGATTTGTCCTACTCCTACACATTCATATGCTTATGCAACCTCTATCAACTTTTGATTTAATACGACATTACTAACGCTCAAAGCAGAAAAATATCAGTCTTTTTGCTCCATGCTTTATTCATTTACAAATCTCCTTCGGGCACAGATAAGGCACCCAACATGTATAGCATCTCAAAAACATCATAGCCACAGGCAACATGTCAACCAAAGGTTAAGTGTCGCTGTGAGGAAAAAAATGACTTTTGAGGGACCGGATAGAATGAAGAACATGAGAAAACACTACATATGATCAGTTGATATCAGTATGAAGTACGACAGCATAAAGAGTTTGAATTACTTTCACACTTTTAGAGAATTAATGTGCCATGAAAAACAGCATGTAATAAGCATATAAGATGAGATGTGGATCACCATATGATGAGCGTAAAATAAGGTTTTTGTGAGACATACGTGACGTGGGTCTTGGTTTTCTTCTCTCCTTCAAAATTTCTGGCCGGGGTATCACAGCACCCGATGCATTCATTCCTCTAGCGTACCTGACTTTGGTCCCATCTTCCAAATACTTATATCCAATCTTACATGGTTTCCTACAGTGAACAGTGAGAAATGATTTAATAAATGAGGAAGTAAATAAAAGCAACATCTTTGTAGGTAGGTACTAACACATTATCAAGTATCATATTCATACCCAGTGACCGGGTCAACCACTTGGACATTTGAGACATGAAGTGGAGCTTCAATTGAGAAAATACCACCTGTGTGCCCTTCCCCTTGCTTAATGTGTTTCTTAACCTGAAATAATAATAGTTCAGATATTTATGGAATTCCTAATGAGCATGAGGACATGACAAAGCAGAGACAATGAAAACGATGGTTGCTATCTGCAGTTAACAGTACCCAGAATAAACAAGCAAAATTGCAGCATATGTTTAATAAATACACAATGATCTTAGAAATATTAGAAAAGTACAGTTTCTCCATTCTTCTTTGGGTATTCATCACAGCTGATTCCACATCACAAATCAATTGGCCCACATTATAAGCTTATTGAGCATGCTTGGGGCTTATTGCATGTGTTAATTCAGCTAGAAACTTAGATGGTGTTATGTCAATATTTAACTGCTTATATGGTAAGCATGTGGTGTGGTGTGACACAAAGAGAATCAGTAAAGCATGAAAAGGGACATTGCAGTATGTACAGCACAATAATGATCAGTTATACAGCAAGGAATTACACTTGTTACTATCTTCTGCAATCAAACAAACTATACGAACAATTGATATTGGTTGGCCTGTTCCCCTCGAGTGCCACAGCTATTCTTTGAGCTCTAACCAATTTGTAAAGCATGAAGGCCAACATCCATCTATGATACAGAATGCAGACAGCTAATCAGCTGTGACTTACTATTATTATGTTCTCCCTTCCTAATTTGCTATCTTTTTGTCATTATGGATGCGTGGTACTTATAGGGGAAGTATCACTCAGCATTCACAAGACGTAATATGACAGACTCAAAGCAGTGCAATGGGGATAAAGGCTGGGCATCATTCAATCACTTACAAGACAATATTAAAACCATGATTGCAGCTGCAACACTAGTCTGAACTCCAAAACGTTCACATCAATTTATGATGCACCACCTTTCAACTGTAATGGTCTGATAAATTTCAACGAATACCTAGAGCACACTATTACAGAGGGATAAGTTTGATTAAATCCATACAGGCATACAGCCAGTGTGCATTGCAACAACCTGAAGTGCCAATTATGAAACTGGCACCAATCTATGTAATAAAAAACTGTTATCTTCTGCATCGATTCCACACCCGGGCTAAACAACTGGGAACGAACATATAACAGCATATTACCAAGTTCTTGCCCTCGACGATGACGCGATTCTGCGACCGAATGACCCGCTTGATGAGCCCGGACTCCCCCTTGTCCTTGCCTCTGATGATCATCACCTGGCAGTCAAAAGGAGAATAGGGGGAGATCTTGCAGTGAGAAGAAAGTAGGACTGCAATAGTAACCGAGGGAATGGAGTGGACAACGGGAGAGATTACGTTGTCGCCACGGAGGATCTTCCAGTGCCTGATGAGCTTCTCCGCCGCCTTCCACCCCATTCTTCCTTGGAGCTTCTCCCCCGCGGGTTTGAGGTCGCGGAATAAGAGGGCTGGAATACAACACGCTGCGGTGGCCGGTGCGCGAGGGAGGGCGGCGGCCGGCGAGAGATGGCAGGGGAGAGCGAGTGGCGGCGGCGCTCGTTGCGGGAGGACGACTGCAAAGGGGGCGGGCGTGACTGGGCTCGGGTAGCCAAGGGGACAAAAACGTGGGCCGGAAAGAGGCTTTAATACCTGGGCCGCTGCGTGTAAATCCTGGGCCGCTGTTTTTGAGCACTATTTCGTCTGTTGATAGACTCATAGACGATATATGTTGTGAAAAAAGTCTATTTTTAGTCCTTGAATTTTTGTTAAAGTCTAGATTTAGCTCTAACATTAAAATTAGACATACATAGCCCTACAACTATTTAAACTGAACAAATTTGACCCTCTGGCCGGTTTCAAATCTGATTTTCAGTACATACTCCCTTGGTCCCCATTTAATTGTCGTTTTGGCTTTGTACTAGATACATGTAAGATTATTGAAACTTGGACATATATACATCTAGGTACCTGGAAGATGCTTCGTACCTAGACTACCAGAAGCATGACGAATGACAAGTGGGAACAGAGGGAGTACTTTCGAAACTTGTAAGATTATTGAAACTTGGACATATATACATCTAGGTACATGTCCAAGTTTCAATAATCTGTCATTTAGAAATGGGGAGATCTAGGTACCTGGAAGATGCTACAACGGCACATAAATGGGAACAGAGGGAGTACTTTCGAAAAATGACAAATGGTAGATAACTCGCTAAAATTCATAAATACTTTTTAAAATTAGAAAAATATAAAACTGGTACCAATTTTTTCTAAAAATATAATCTACGTCATCGAGATCTACAACTTTGGTTTGGTAATTTCTTCATCCGAGTTCAATCGAAGAATTCAAAAAAAATTGAATTTCAAAATATAAGAACGTCAATCAGAATTTTGAGACCATAAATGATTTCAAATGAAATGGTCGTCGACTACAAAGTTATAGATTACATCGAGATCCACAACTTCGGTTTTGGTCATTTCTCCATCTGAATTCATTCAAATAATTCAAAAAAAATCAAAATATGAGATTTTCAAATAGAATTTTAGGGCCATAAATGATTTCAAATAAAAAATCATCAACTACAAACTTATAGTCATTTGTCTATCCAAATTCATTCGAATAATTTAAAAACGTTTGAATTTCAAAATACAAGAACTTAAAAACATAATTTTAGACTATAAATGATTTCAAATGAAATAGTGATACAATACAAAGTTGTGGATCCCATCAATATTTACAACTTTGATTTGGTCACTTCCCATTCCAGTTCATTCAATGGAACAGAAAAAAAATTAAATTTCAAAGTACAAGAACTTCAAACAAATAGATTATATTTTAAATAAAAGAATATTTGAATCTCTAAAAATTTATAGCTAATTAATCTAGATAGATAGATTCTATTTCTTAGAAAAAATTGGTACCAATTTTATTTTTTCTGATTTAAAAATCATTATGGATTTTAGAGATTTACCTATTATTTTAGAAAAAATATATAAATTCATCACCATTGAAACCAGTCAAGGACTAAGGTTGCCGGATTCTGCACGTGTCTAGTTTTAGAGTTCGAGGGCTAAATTCATACCTCAAGAAAAGTTCGAGGGCTAAAAATACTTTTTCCTATACCTTTCGCATTGTAAAATAGCATCAGCAAGTTCTTGCATCGCTGAAGTGATATTTTCTTAGGGGAACGCTAGCATACATGGATTTGTTAGGGAAAAATTAAAGAGAGAAACACCTAGCTTAGGTTATCATAGATTCAATTCCAATGACATTTGCCTGGTGGCACTGTTCCACGTACCCGACAAGACAGGAGATATCATCCTTATTCCCACATATGTTTGATATTAATTAGGAGTATTAAATATAAACTAATTACAAAAATAATTACATAAGCCGTGACTAATTCGCAAAACAAATCTATTAAGTCTGATTAGCCCATTATTAGCTAATGTGATGCTACAGTAAATATGTGGTAATCATATATTAATTAGACTTAACAAATTCGTCTCGCGAATTAGTTACGACTTATGTATTTAGTTTTATAATTAGCTCATGTTTAGTCTTTCTAATTGACATTCAAACATTCAAACATTGGGGTGTTTGATCCCTATGACTAAACTTTAGTCCCGGTCACATCTGATGTTTGATACTAATTAAGACTATTAGATATAGACTAATTACAAAACAAATTTCATAAATAAAGGCTAATTCTCGAGACGAATATTGGTCTATGATTAGCTAATGTGATGCTACAGTAATGTATGCTAATCATGGATTAATTAGGCTTAATAAATTCTTCTCACGCGAATTAGTCACTGTGGGGGTATGGCCCCCGGTATCCACAAGACAGGACATGGACCACACCATCAGAGGTGGTCTAGCCCACAAGATAAAGGCGTGCACGGCACTGGTCGACGTGCACTGCAAAATATTGTATATTACCAAATAAAATACTTTCCTTGTAACCCTACACCTCCGGAGTATATAAGGAGAGGTAGAGGTCCCCTACGGCAATGTACGTGCTCCAATTAAAGAGGAAATTTCTATATGTGATAATATACTATTTATTAGTTAGAATTCGAAGGAACTATTCCTTTTCAATATACTATGACAATATGAAAGGATTGGACCACACTACAAGTTGCAAACAAAGTTGAACCCTGCCAAATAGATGCGCACATTTGATTAATTAAATTGCATTTAAATAATATCAGATGATGCAATATTCACTGCTATCTTTAAAAGAATAATTCACATGGTTGTTGGGAAGTCAGTTTCAACCTTTCAATGTTAGTAGAAATAAAGAAAGGAGCTAATCAAATATCAAAACCGCCAGCATTTGGCATATGCTATGACAATGTGAAAGGATTGGACCACGCTCCAGGTTGCAAACAAAGTTGAACCCTGCCAAATAGATGCGCACATTTGATTAATTAAATTGCATTTAAATACTATCAGATGATGCAATATTCTTTGCTACCCTAAAAAGAAGATTAACTCACATGGTTGGGAGGTCAGTTTCAATGTTAGCTAATCAAAAGATCAAAACCGCCAGCATTTGGCATAATAAAAATATAAAAAGACAGACCCTGGCCTGCACTAAACATATCATATGAAGGGTCCGTCTCAGTCAAATCTGGTTCCTACATTACATTTAAAAAGCGAGCAGATTGAGGCTGTGTGTTTAGTTCGCGAAATGAAATTTTTTGGATGTCACATCGGATGTTTCGGGGATGTCGGAAGAGGTTTTCGGATACTAATAAAAAAACTAATTACATAGCTTGCCTGGAAACAGCGAGACGAATTTATTAAGCCTAATTAATCTACCATTATCGCATGTAGTTACTGTAGCACTTATGGCTAATCATTGCCTAATTAGTCTTAAAACATTCATCTCGTGATTTCCAACCAAACTGTACAATTAGTTTTTTTTCATCTATATTTAATACTCCATGCATGTGCCACAAGATTCGATGTGATAGTTTGAGGTGAAAATTTTTGGGAACTTAGACCAGGCCTGAACTACCGCAACCATTCTAAATACAGTACAGAGTTGAGCTTCTCCCTGTGATCACATATGTCCTTTCATATTTTCACACCTCTAGACTCTAGTTGCAGCTGATGTGCAAATTAATAGATACAACAAATTAAAATGGAGAACATGTGTGGTCTTGGCTCTACCAGACGTGATTATGAGAAGAAACAGGGGCACAGACTGCAAGCATGTCAAGTCGTAATGAAATAGACCCACCTATTATATTTATTATCCATGCGCGGCTCGTGTAAATTAAGTAATTAGCTCCACCATGCAAGTACCTCTCATGGACGACTAACTAGTCTTTTTTCTTATTAATCTGAAGACTGATGCATAAATTGTACATGTCCTGGTGATCAACTAGCAAAGATGGGACAAATGGTGAGTTTAAATTCACCGGGGAGCCAGGGTAGTTAGACTAATTAGTACTTACTCCGTCCATAAAAGAATACAATTATGGAATACGTGCCAGTCAAGTTTGCTAAAGTTTGACCATGTTTATAACAAATATTATTAGCATTTATCTCCCTAAATAAATATATTATGAAAATGTATTCTATAACTAATCTAATGATACTAATTTTGTATCATCAATGTTAACATTTTTTATAGCTTTGGTCAAAGTATAAACTGTTTGACTTCTCGAAAAGCGAAAATTGCATTCTTTCGTGGGCATAGGGAGTAGAATCTAATCATGTTCGCACAGCTTCATATACAACTCCTTAAACCCAGTAGACATAGACGAATACATATAAATATGCCTTGGTGATAAACTTGCAACGATGGGACAAATGGTGAGTTTGAATTCACATGGGAGCATGAGCTGTGAGGATCTAGGGTAGCATAGGAGAATCTAATCATGTTCACACGCTTCATATGCGATTTTCTAAAAGCAGTAGACACAGACGAATACATATAAACATGTGCATTCATACATCCCTATGAACACATACATGCACATCATACTTTTATGAGCACTTTTAGAAGAAGACGTGTGTTAAATCTTGAGACTGAAGAAGTCACACAAACTGCTAAAAAAAAAGAAATTTCCTAGACACCCCGCCCCCTTATTCCCCCACCCCCACCCCCCAAACAGGTGTAATTATGGGTCACCTGATCTACGAGCGGTTCAATAATTATAAAAACCGCATGGGTAAATTGTTCGATTAGCATAGGCAACTTTCTTAAGGAACCACCTCTAAAAAGGCAGCCTCATAAGGAACC